AAAAAAAAAAAAAAAAAAGAATTCAATCAAACTTGATATATCCTAGACACTGGGATATTGCTGTTTCCAAAAATTAGTAGATAGTCAAATTGACTTAACACTAAAATGACACTGAATAGAATTCAAGCTTTCCTAATGATTTAGAAGGTGATCATGATCATGCAGAAATTCAGGATCATCATTATAGTTTAAATTGTCACCACAGAATACTGAAAAAATTAATTGGGTTATTTTAGCTTTTTGGTTGTTTCAATTTTAGATATAACAGACATCAGTAAGCATTTGCTGAATATCTACATATTCTGTAGTAGGTAATATTGGGCTTATCAGTCTATAATTTTAATGATTTTATTCTAACTTTCTGGATGCAACATACATAGACAATATTAAAATTCACAAATATGTATTTTAAGAAAGCATAAAGCCTAAAAATGTATCAACTGAGCACACAGGTCCAAAGCTCAACATGCTGGGGGTTCAACCATACGAGCCAACTAAATGAGCTAAACATCCTTGCAAATTTGCACAGGTCTCCTGGCTCACAAAAGAGAGAAGGAATGAGAGAACCCCGGCTAGAGTTCATTCAGGGTTTAGTTTAGACAAAAGCAACAGCACATAAGCTCCTACCTCTAGTCCTTGGGTGTCTTTACCTTCATACCGTATTTAGAACCATACTATCCTATTCTGGGTGCTGAAATCACCCTAATGACCCAGAAGGAGGCTTGAACCTGTCTGGATGCTTGAGACTGCATTGGACACATGGTGCACAGACGAGCACTAATAGTCTAGAGTCAGGAAGCGTGGGTCTGTTCTTGCCTAGGGCACACTGTGAGAAGGACCCATCAAAGGCTCTAGGCCTGCTTTCTCATCAGAAAAAAAAAAGGGGCTAGCTAGTCTAAATTGGTGGATTGCCAAATTCAGTGAGCATCAGCATTTTCTGAAGATTTTTGTGATAAATGTGGAACCCCCTTCCACCTGAGATGATTTTGATTCTGTAGATCTTGGGTAGGGACCAGGAATCCACATTTCTAATGAGCAACCTCCTCCTCCCTCCCACTCCCCTCACCAGGAACTTTGATGGGTAAAAGCTGAGGGTTATTCCCCAATTTCTAGGTGACCCCCAAGGTCCCTCTAAGCTCTAAAATTCTGACTCTATTCAAGAAAAGTGCAGAGAGTGTGCAGACTGTTCAGTGAAAAGCTCATAATTTGTCACATAGTTTAATCCGTAGGCTTCCAAAATCAACATTTCAGGTTTTTAGTCAATTTCTAAAAATTGGCTATGTAGAAACAACCTGAGTTCATTTTACCAGTGTTTTTCCAGAGCATTCTTGTCTCTACTGGGAGTATCCTATTCACCTTAGATAGAATTAAAACTTCTAATCCCCAAATCCAATGTATTTGTCTTTGAAAGAACATAGAATGACTGGGAAAGATTAGAGGCTAGTGGCCTGATGTAGACTCATTTTCTAAAAATCAACACATGCCATTTATTTGAAGAAGGAAACACCAGCTTTTTCAATTAACTGCAAGATTTCCTTTACTATCATAATAGCAAATCATGGAGTAAAAATGTCTGAAACAATTTCCCACAAAAATACACAATCTGGGATTTTACTTTATCATTATGAGGTTTTCAACAGGGAAAAAATGTGTTTTCTTAATAATGACTGTTACAAAAACACATTTTTTTAGAGGGTGCCAAAGCTGGACTCTGAAAAGCGACATTATAGGGAGAAAAATAGAGCTGCAAAGTAGAGACCAAAAATAATTAATTGAAATAACTAATTAGAGCTTATTTACATATTATATTTTTATGTACTTTCAAACAGACATTTCAACAATGTTTCTAAATTAAAGGGCATTTGTAGTAAGGAACACTCCACATGTTGGATCAAAGAAAATACATTCTTCCCAGTCTCTTTTCGAAACTTTTCAGAGTGTATTCAATTCACAGGAACAAAAAACTATCTCACAAGAGAACCCACTGGCCTTTTTTTTTTTTTTATTGCTTCCCACCCCACTTCAAATCTTTAATGAACACATGCTCTGAAGAGCTTAGCTTCCCCTCTGATACACTTTTGGAAACAAATGTCACCATTTAACCAAAATCCTATTTGCTGCATGTACAGTCCATTTTCCAAATGGCCTTTCACTAAATACACCCAAAAGAATCTGTTGCTGGGGGCTGAAGCAGAATTTTGGCCTAATTCTCCACAAAAGCACAATCTTTCGTCTAACAAATGTACCTACTGAGCTCAATTGGCTGCAGTGGGGTGTTACTGAAGCTGAGATCTTAAGGATCAGCCAACCACCTTCTTTCTAGTTCATGGCCACCAACTTCAGCCTTTCTTCCCCTGACCAGCAGTTGGAAAACTCGTGGGCATAAGAAGGAAGAAACAAAAGCTGTCGTTGGATCCAGGTAAATCTCTCACTAAGGAAGGAACCCATACAATGCTAAGTGAGCTTTTCTCTAAATTGGTAAGGGAAGTCTGGTATTTCATATTTGGAAGGTAGAAATGCTCTAAGAAAAGAAGAAGGCAAACAAAAAGAAAGAAGGTGCCTTTGTAAAAGAAAGGAAAAGTGATAGAACGAATTTTCATTTGCTCTATAAAAATAGAAATGAAAAAAACCTGGCGAGTTTCATACCCTCTTTTACTATATGCACGGTATAGGGAGATATGTCTATAGGAACAAGGAGGGGGACTTCCTGTCCCTCCCTCCTTATTTCCCTCCAGTGTCCTGGCCA